AACAAAGATGGCATTCGTTGTCCCTCTCCTAGGCATAAATCCAAACTGCTGTCCACTACTCTCTGTTTCTTGTCTTATCCTTCCTTCTACTACTCTTTCCCATATTTTCATTGTGTGTGACATCAACTTAATACCCCTATAGTTCCCGCAGTCTTGGATGGCACCCTTTTCTTTATATATTGGTATGATCACGCTATCTCTCCACTCATCTGGCATCTTCTTCTGCTCGTAAACCTTCCTCAACAGATCCCACAGCACCTCGACTCCGTCATCTCCCAAACAGTTCCACACACTTTTGCTGGTATTTCATCCGGTCCTGTAGCCTTACTCCTCTTCATCCTCCTCAAGGCTCTCTTTACCTCCTCCCTACTAATTTCAGGTGCATCCCTCTCGTTCGCTGCCCCCTTCTACGAAAACCCTTCTCTCATTCTCCTCGTTCAAAAGCTTTTCGAAATATACCCTCCAGCTATTCTTTATTTCTGTCTCATCACTTAGTACGCATCCTTCCTCATCTTTAATCTGTTTTATTTGTGTAAGGTCTTTATTTGCTTTATTTCGCCTTTTCGCCAACTTATAGGTCTTTTTCACTCCCACCGGTGTTTCCAATTCTTCGTAGATGTCATTTACTGCACTCGCGTTTGCCTGCGCAACTGCCTTCTTCGCTTCCTTCTTGGCCGTTCTTGCTGCCTCCCCATCCTCTTCGCTGCCCGATGAATCCCAGTTTTTCTTCGCCTCTTTCTTTTTCGTTACTTTCTCCTTTTCACATGTACACATACATCTAAATATTCAGAGTATTTTTTTCAGTTATATATGAGTCTCATCAGCTGTTGTAACTCTTGTTAATGATGTAAAACTATCAGAATGTAAATAAAAGGAGTGTTTTAGTTATGTAGAGATAAAGATTGTTGATTTTCAAAATTTCCAATGTACTCCAGTCTGTGCGAAGTATTCTGAAAAGTAAAAAAAATTAAACTGACCACTACAGCTCATGCCTGAAAAATATTTCTGAAATGTGCTAATAAAGTGCGTGGCTTGCATATGGGTCACAGTTAGTTACATATGTTTGTGTTTTTTAGATTTTGGAAATAAGGTTTAAAAGTAAATCTTGAGATGCGTTTCAACTTTTAATCTATAAAGATAGGGGTGTGAGAATGACACAGGAAAAAGTTAGGTATAGTTTTGTTTTATTTGGACTATTTAATTACACTAATAACTAACAATGTATGTTAGTTTGCTGCATGTTTAGAAGTGGAGTGTTTGAGGTTTAACTTCCTTTAGAGGCCTTATGTGTACTATTGTTTAATATGTATTTATGGCGATTTGTGCTTAAGATTTATTTTCTTTTTCAAAGTTAATTTGCTTTGACTGTAGCGAGGTGTTTTCCTAATGGAAATAAGTTAAACGGTACTTGTGCACAGGTAAAATTATTAAAAACGAACATACAACGTTAAATAGTTGCACAATAAGCTAGCTTTATTAAAAACTGGACACAGTCTTAAGAAGACTCTACATATTTCGATGATTTTCTGCGCCAGCATCATCAGGAATGAAAGTTAATATTAGGTATTGACTTATATATCTACAACACCTCCAATTTACATAATCTTGTATTACACATTCAGCGCCATCTCGACTTCGAACACAGCCCTCCTAATGTGAAAGTGTATTAGACTATGTTAGTTGGAGTCTTGCTTAGGCACTGAATAACAATTATTTTTTATTTTGTTTTTACAGTTTTTTGCTTAAGTTATTACTTGATTTTGTGTTTGCTTTATGCCGTGTGCTGGGTACCTCTGAACGTGTTGTTTTCCTAATATACAGGAAAGTATTGCAAGAAAATAAATTCAGTGCTGCGTATAGTATGGGGCTATGAATGATAATATGCTTTATGTTGTTGATCCAGAAGATCAAGGAATGATAAAGATAGGATTGTTGCGTATTAATGCATTTGCCCTACAAGTGTATAGTACATATTGTCTGTCATTTGTCATGCACCAAAGAGTTGGTATACAGATACGAATTTCAGTTTAATGATGTTTATGAACAAATTGAATCCCAACTTAAATATAATTGGGGGTCCCCAAGAGGAAATCAAGACAAAGGGTAAGTTATGGTACCTGGTATTATTATCCTATATCCCTATAACGTAAAAGGCACATAACTATCAGTTATTGTAAAAATGAGAACAAAACGTCTATAATTTAACATCATGTACATGACTGGTGGGAAATAATTAATTAGGAAAAGGGGCAATGTTTGCCATCTTGTGTGTTACATGGGGTTAGAAGTTCTTGGAGGCTGCTCCTCATGTAAGTAGAATTGTTGTGTGCCATGTAGGTGAACTGGCATCCCGTTCAGGGGAAATATGTCACCATTCTCTCACATTTATGACACTGAAGCCAGAGTTGGAGCATCTGCCCCACGTGTCTTTCACGAACGGACGAATTAAGTTTAAAATATGCAGGATGGCGTAATATGATTGGTTGCTCTTCTTATTTTGAATTTGAACCAACAATGTTGCATGAAGAAAGATATGAGATTAAATATCAACTGAAATTAAAACAAGAAAAATATAAGTCAGTACAATCTATGAAAAACATTATAATGGTAAAGTTGAGTAAATGATAACCAAATGGTATTCAGAAGTTACACATGTGGTTGAGATACCCTGAAACTACAGTATTCTGCATTTAATTACCACTAAAGAAGGATTATAAGTTCACGAGTCAGTTACTATTTTAAAGGACACGGAGTATTTACACATCAAACTTTTCTATTCTATTGCTGAGATACAAATAAAAACTACACATTTTTTCAATTAAACGAAGTTCCCTTTAATTCACTTGTATATGTTCTCATTCATTTAAAGTTAGTCTACCTTACCTGCAACAGAATTTCTTTCTGTCTACTTGTTGATGTTTGTTTTTTGCAGGATCTTGATTGATTGTCCCGTGAAATTCATTAATACTTTAATTGTGGAATAATATTAAAACAGTTTTTTGTGACATTTATTCATTAAATGGTGTTTCAAGTCATATACACCTTTTCTGGTTAGCTTTATAATTGTGTATTTACAAACTTTTAAATACAAGTAAAGGATAATTTTGTGTACACTTATTATAGTGGCTTAAAATATTAGTTGAAAAATAAATGATTATCTTAAGATCACCACTTGATATTTTACTCCATGTTAAATGTTGCTGTATCATTAAATAAAACACCGTTTTATATATTTCGCTCTTGACGTTATTATTTTATATCCGAGTTGTCCTAATTTTGAAAGCCTTAGGTATATAGGTACAGCGGTTATGTATGCGGACTTACAACGCTAGAATCCGGGTTTCGATACCCGTGGTGGGCAGAGCACAGATAGCCCATTGTGTAGCTTTGTGCTTAATTACAAAGAAACAAACAAGTATATATAAGGGTTTTTGTGTTTGAAATCATTCAAAAACTGGCCAAGTAAAATATTTGATCTTGTAAGTTATTGTTTTATGTGTATAAATCAGAATACAAATAAAAACATATTGTGGTATTCTCAGATAAAACTGGAACCAACAGCTAAGCTATACGTATCACAATAATGGGATGGTTGAAAATATTTATCGCGGATAGAATAAAATTAAGTGGATAGCAAAGGAAAGGCTCAAACTTTAGTGTTTTATTGTATATACTTGACACATGTTATGCAATACCATAGCACTGGATTACTGCTATGTTGCCAGGAACTAACTGGCTGCTTGCGCAGAAAGAAGACCACATCTTCGCATGACAAGAGACCTTTGCTGAAAATGAAAAGAATGTATCTATAGCACATCTTAAAGTTTGAATCAATCCTAGTGCAGTATTCAATAGACTTAGATTTCGTAAACCAGTGATAATTCTAGTTTTTAAATTTTCACAGAGAGATTCATTTCCAGCCTATACTAGCTTGTACATATACTTCAGTATGGCCTACACCACAAGAAATGCCATAAAAGCAAGGCCAAGAGAGTGCAAGTTCTAAAGAATAGCCACTGTAGTATGTAATGTTAACCTGAGGCATGGATTAATGAGAGTTTACAAGTATTTTTATCATATTCACAAGAACATTGACTGAATGCAAGAACACTTGAGCAAAAATGTTCTTAAGTTTATCTGAATAAAAATATATTATTTTCTAGTTATAAAAATATAGATATAACAGGTTTCAAATGCTGCACTTCCCCTTTCTTATCTCAGGTTTTTTCTTGGTCGAAGCCGTTAAAAGTAAATCTAAATAGACAAATTAAATAGATAACCAATGTAGTCAGAGTTTCTATTAATCTCCTCTTTAGATGACATACAAAATGTCAAGACATTTACTCCTAGAAAAGCAAAGGAAACTTTTATTTTCCATATAGTCTCAAGAGGTGGTAAAATAGAAAAAGGTATTAAATTAAAATGAAATAACTGGGAATAAAACTGAACCTGGTGTAAAGTAAACTGTACAAAATTTAATTTAGCATAATTGAAACTGAACAAAATATAGAGTCAAATGTAATGTATTAAATTGTGAATATAAGGTAGAAAAATAAGAAAATTTGGATAATGAACTCAGACAAAGAAAATTAAGTAAAAGATGTATATGTATTCATCACAAAGCGTATCTTCTGCTGTCTCTGATTTTGCATTACTTACCAGATGGAAAGCAACTAGTCAGCAATACTCTGATGAGAAACTGATTGTCTTTCTTATAAAGCACACACAGCTGAAAGTGTGAGGAATATTTTGCGATATTTCACGGATTCGAACTCGGCTTTTTAGCACCAATATCCAAAACTTTACCATAGAGCCAATCTGTGCCCGGTAAAGGTCGACATGAAGGAATTTCAAAAATTAAAATAAATAAAATTCAGTAAAGAATCACAAACATTGATTTAAAAACTTCATTTGGTTACTTAAGAAAATAGAATAAATAAAATCGAAAACAAAACAACGAAGCAAAATTAACAAAAGCAAAAGGTTTATTTAAAAATTTATATTTAACTCAAAGCGTAATACAAGTTAAAATTTGCAACAGGGCCAATTAAGATGGATAAAATTTAGCATGACACTGAAAATTGCATATATTGAAATAAAAATAGGCAGAACTAAGCAATTTACAAACGTAAATATGTCAAGATAGAGTGGAACATAATACTGAAATGCAGATTCAATGGATTTAAACTTGATGACAAGGAACCCCCCCCCCCCACACACACACACTTTATAGAAAATAAAAGATAAAAAATAAAAATCTACATTTATGATAAAGTTTTCTCTATTACCCAGTCAAGCCGTCTCCAAGCTTCAGGATTCAATTTTAACTCAGGATAGGAAAGTTAAGGCAAGTACAAAATTATAAATGAAATAATTATATATATATATATACTAAGGGAAGAAAGTCGTGCTTCACGTACGAAACTATTTTTTGATTGTGTTAATCTATATTTGAATACACAAAGTTTATAAAATGTAAAGAAATTGCTGTGTAGTTAAATCAATTAAAATATTTAATTGACCTGCCTAAAATAAACTACTCACGTAAGACGTTAGGTACGTAGCGTTCTGAGCGAACTTGTTGTCAACTGCAAAATATATGTAGACACACACACAGAGTCATGATTATTAAGAATGACAGAAAATCTACTTTAGCTATGTTTCTATGCTACCCTCTCAGTGACTCAGCGGTAAGCCTGAAGGCTTATAATACTAAAAATCGGGTTTCGATATCCGTGGTGGGCATAGCACAAATAACCTATTGTGTAGCTTTG